AGAGAGAGAGAGAGAGTTAGTGTTCTAAGCCAATTCTTTTGAAGTGAGAGTAGAATCTCTCCTTCCTTTTAAACTGAGGCAATCTGCTACTGTCATCATGATTGGGGGACAAGAGGAGGTTTCAGGTGTAGGGGTGAGATGGAAACAAAGCATTTGCTACATTATCCTAAAGCCCCAAGTCCTTTGGTACCCAGATGCACATGTGGCCCAAAGTCTCACATATGGGGAGGGTAGAGAGGGTAGAAAGTTTTGTTTACCTCCATTATGCTGGAATTGTTTGCCCATTCATGACGCAGGTCCAAAGAATTGAGCATATTGCAAAGTCACACTCCTGGTTAACTAACTTCCCATATTTCAAGCCTTCTTCATTTAGTGAGCACAGGGAAAGATATGGATTCCAGGATCCAAAATACTTGTTTCATACATGTGAGTTGATTTTAAATATGCTAATAGTTAATTTTAGCCCTTCAAGTAAGTGTTCATTCATTTGAAAGTAGAAGATTTTTTCAAATTTCTAAGATTCCACAATTAAAAAAATTTTTTTTATTAATTTATTTTGATTTATCAACAATCACTTCCATATTCTTTTGAGTTTAAAATTTTTCTCCCCCTCTCCTTTCCCACCTCCCTCCCCAGACAGCGTGCAATCTGATATAGGCTATACACATACATTCCTATTAAACATATTTTCATGTTAGTGATGTTGTAAAGTAAGAATTAGAACAATAGGAGGAACCACCAGAAAGAGGAAACAAAACACAATAGAAGAAAAAAATAGCAAATCATATGCTTCGATCTGCATTCAAACTCTATAGTTCTTTCTTTGGATGTGGATAGCATTTTCCATCATGAGACTTTTGGAGATGTCTTAGATCCTTGAATTGCTGAGAAAAGCTAAGTCAAAGTTAATCAGCATACAATGTGCCTGTTACCGTGTTCTCCTGGTTCTGCTCACTTCACTCAGCATCAGACCATACAACTCTTTCCAGGTTTTTCTGAGGTCTGCTTGCTCATCATTTCTTATAGCACAATAGTATTCCATTACATTCATATACCACAACTTGTTCAGCCATTCCCCAATTGATGGGCATCCTCTCAATTTCCAATTCTTTGCCACCACAAAAAGAACTGCTATAAATATTTTTGTACACGTGGGTCCTTTTCCCATTTGTATGATCTCTTTGGGATACAGCCCTAGAAGTGCTATTGCTGGGTCAAAGGGAGATTCCACAAATCTTGAGAGGCAGCTGGGGGGCTCCATGGATATAGCATTGGGCGTGGAGTCAGGAAGCCCTGAGTTCAAATCCAGCCTCAGACAGTTACTAGATGTGTGACCTTGCAGAAATCACTTAATCTGTTAGCCTTTCAGTTTCCCCACTTGTAAAATGGGGATAATAATAGCACCTACCTCCCAGGATTGTTGTGAGGGATAAAATAAGAGAATATTTGCAAAGTGCTGTATAAATGCTAGCTATTATAAATGGTATTCCTCCAACAACCCTGTGAGTTCTGGGTCCTAGGTCCATGAACAGATGAATATGATGCATTGTAGTCTCCATGGGAAAGCCTGGTCAAACAAGTATTACAAATATAGTATGTTATAACAATATAACCATAAAACAATATAATAAGTTTTGCTTTATTATTGATGATTTCTCATGGGAATAAAACAGTTCCAGCATCCAGGACCTTTTTCTTACTCGGTCTTAGCTTTTTAGGTCTAGTTTAGACAAGAAGCCATGGTCCAGCCCTGCTACTGACTAGTAGGCATTATTGGGGGTGTTGGTGGTGAAGTGAAATCCTCACAGTTCTTCTTTAACCTCTCACCCCAACTGCACAAAGTCCTCCCTCCCCCACCATCATTTGGCCATATGTCTTTTTTTTTTTTAAAGCAAAAATCACAGATGCTTCTGAAGGTTTCCCATCCTTCCCCTGGTGGGGAGGGAGTATCTGATTCAATCATACACTCTTTGCTTTCGTTAACTAGGGCTGGCTTTTCAGCTTTCTTTTTCTTTATTGCTGATGGGCATCCCTCGTTCCAGACCTAGCCTGGGATATTAACTCGGTTTCAGCCAGCCCATTCATAAATAACCAGTTGTCAGGGATTTTAATGGAAACCCTCTCTAAGCTGTAAATCTTGGCCTCTCAGTCCTATACCCCCCACCTTCATTTCCATCACAATATCACTCCAGTGGGAGCAAGGACTGAAGCAGCAGATTGGTAGGACACTGGGGAGGGAGGTGAAATAAAGATGCAGAAGGTTGGGAGGGGGCAAAGCCTAGGACAATTGGTCTTTCTGAAGCATCTGCTGGGTGACCAGTTGATGGTGGTCGCCTGGGTCCCTTCTGTATTCTCTTCTCCCCATCTCCCTCCCCTTTCCAGGATGGGAAGGTGGTAGTGGTGGGGGGTGTGGTATGGGCAGTTCAGCCCATAGCCTGAGGCAGGGATGGGAAGAAGGGCTTCTGGGTGAGTGACAGATGTGCAGCTGGTTCTACTTTGGGCCCTCTGTTCATCCTATAGTAAATTTCAAAGGCATGTGGCAAAGGGCTTTCATGTCTATGGGGAAAACTGTGTCCTTGCCTCTAGCACCTGGGTCTTTAGTAGTTGAGGCTCTTGGTCCTGGAGATGGTGATGGTGGTGATGATGGGGTGGGGGATTCCTCCTGTACCCCAAGAGGCTGTTCCTGTGAGGGTGCTGTGTTTTACTTTTTAATCTATCAGTCAAAGCATTCTCAATTCATCTGTTCAAAGACCACCTCCTCTAGAAAGTCTTCCCTGAGACGCAGTCCATTCCAACACTGACCTTTCTTCCAAGTTCTAACAAAAACCTCCAGTTGCCTAGGGGATATTTCCATCTGGGTATTTCACTGCCCCCTCAAACCTAACAGTTGCCCCCAAACCAAGTTCATTATTCATTCCAGTTCAATTCAATAAGTATTTGGAAAAGTGCCTATTATGTGTACAGCACTGTACTAGGTAACACAGATGTAAAAACAAAAGTGAAACAGTCAAGAATCTGAAATTCTCCTGGATTATCCTCATCTGTGATCTTCTATTTTGGTCAGTGGCTTCATCATTTAGTGTGCCATATTTGAAAACTTATTCAGAAGTTCTTAGCCTTGGGCTGGTGAAAATATTTTAAAAACATTTTGATAACCGTATTTCAATATATGATTGATGTCCTTTGTACTCCTATTGCATTTTATTTTGTGCATTGAAAGACATTATTTGGAGAAGAGGTTCCAAGAGGTTTGCCACAAAAAAAAGTTTAAGAACCTCGGCCTTAAGTTTAACTTTAGCTCTTCCATCTCCTCCCACATCCAGTTAGTTTTTTGAGCCCTCTCAGTTTTAGCTTTATCAGTTTTTAAAATGCAAGCTTTCCTCTTTTTATAACCACCCTCCCTCCTACCCTCAGGCCCTGATAACTTCTTACTAGAAGATTATCTTATCTGGATGTAATAGTTTGTAAAATTGTCTTTTCACCTTTCCTCTTTCATCCTCCAATTCATTCTTCCCACCACAGATAGACTAATCTTCCTTGTGCATCAATTTGACTATATAGTCTCTCTGTTCAAAACTTCTCTTTAATGTCCACTACAAAAAAAAGCAGGACTGCTCTGTTTGGCCCAGGAGGGTAGAAATAGGAACACTCAATGGATGGAAATTACAGGGAGGCACTTATTTTTGGCTGGGTCGGAATGGAATTGAAACATAAGGAGTGACTTCCTCATAATTAGAATTAGTCTAATGTCTAGTTCCCTAATATACCAAAAACTCTAGGAGGGCGAGGCTGAGTCTGTTCAGTCCTGTCTGACTCCATGATCCCATTTTTTTTTTTTGCAAAGATACTGGAGCGGTTTGCCATTTCCTAAAGATGAGGAACTGACACAAACAGGGTTAATTAACTTGCCCAAGGTCACACAGCTAGTAAGTGTCTTAGGCCTGTTTTGAACTCACCAACAGAAATCTTTCTGACTTTAGGCCTGGCACTCTCTCCACTAGGGCTGGCTGCCCCATGATCTAAACTTTTAATTTTTTCCAAACACCTAGGTAATGAGTGTAAACGCATAGCAGTTTCTTAATACCATATGGTTTAGTGGAAGAGCACTAAACTTGGCGTCAGAACCCTGAGTTAGAGTCCCTTTCCTGGCTCTTATCAGTTTGTGTGTGTGTGTGTGTGTGTGTGTGTGTGTGTGTGTGCATATGTGCCTCATTTTCCTCAATTGTAAAGTGAGTTGAAGAAGGAAATGGTGAAAACTGAGTGTGTCTAAAGGGCAGTTATTTAACCTTGTAGTAAGTTATAAGGAAGGTGATTTGTAAAACTTAAACCACTAACTTTATGATAGAAAGATGGATAAGACTGATGAATGGATGGAGGGATGGATAGAGAGATGAACAGATGAAGGACAAGGGAGGGGAAGAAGAGGAGGAGAAAGGAGAATGAGGGAAGGCGGAGAGACAGAGAGATAGAGATAGAGACAGAGACAGACAGACAAAGACAAAGAGAGAGGCACAGAGACATAGAGAGAGACAGAGACATTTGGTAAGGCTTATTATATTCCAGGTACCATGCTAAGTGTTGGGATTACAAATACAAGCAAAGACAGTCCCTGTCCTCAAAGAGCTTACATTCTACCGAGGAAGACAACAAATAAAGCGGAAAGCGTGACTGGAGGATGTGTGTTGGAAAGTGACTGGTGTCTAAAAAAAAGAATAATAAAGAAACGTAAGCGCTATAGATGCATGCCCTATTACCATGCATGCCCTATTACCATGCATGCCCTATTACCATTTGTCTTCCTCCGCTGCCTAGGGTAAGCCAAGCCCCATTTTGTGTTGGCCCATCTAATGGGAGGGTCAAACTTAATTACATCACAATGTTCCAAGGATGGCGTCACGCCCCCCAGAAAAAGAAGTGTGCATTCCAGGCTGGAAACTTATTTACCCTTTTGCAGAGGGTGGTAGAGTTGAATATTCTGGCCCAGCACGCTGATTGGCTGAACGCCAACCCTGGCCCGGACCCGCCTCCTCTACTCCCGCTACCTTAGCCGGCCTTGCGCTTGCGCACCTGGATTCTTCTCTGTGCAGAGATGCGAATGGGGCTGGGGTTCAGCCTCCCTTCTTTGCTCGCGCTGGTTCTCGAGGATTCTGCGTCCTGGCGTCTCCCGGGACAACCCTCGGTCTCTTCCCAATGGGAGGAAGAGGGCGGTTAATTTATTGGGAAGGGCTGTCAGGAGAAAGGGCCAATCTAGCGCCCGAAATCTGGCTCATGCAAAAGCCACGCTCCTACCCACCCGAACTTGCGGCGACAGCAGAGTGGGTTTGGGGCTGGCAATGGGGCACAACGACACCTTGCATCCCATGGAGTGGGGGAGGGAGGCTGCGTCCACTTTGGCCGAGAGCGATATGGACAGCGGAATGGGGGCGAGCGGAGGCATGAAGAGCCGTGGGTAAGAGCGCCCGTCGCCCACCCTTCTCTGCCCCGGCTGTCCCTGGTGCAGACCACCGTGCCCCCATCCCGCCACGTCCTGATTCTCCGCCCTCCAAGTTCCGTTCCAGCCCCCAAAACTCGTGCAGCCAGTCCCCTTGCATACCTCACCCCTGACCGTAAATGTACTCCCAAACTCACCAGTCTCTCCTCATTCCTTCCACCAGCTTCACTCCTGGTACCCCTACTCTGCTGTCCATTTCTGTAGACCCCTTTAAATACTTGTCTGGCCCTCTTCCTCCCCACATGCCCTTTCTTGACCCACCCCCCACTCCTTTCTCTGAGTCTCAGTTTCCTTATCTGTAAAATGAAGAAGGCTCTTTCAGCCCTAGAGCTATAAATATGAACCCCTTACTCTGGGGTACTCTCCAGCTTCCTTCCAAGACTTCCCAAATCCTTCCATTTCACTGCAGAATAGGGCTTCTGGTGCACTGTGTTCCTTAAGAGTATGAGTCAAAGTCTCCCATGTCCAGGGACCCCCTTGCACCAAATACCTACGCTTCATTTCTTTGGAGGACCCTTCACAGAAGGAGAACTTCAGGCCTTCCTCAATACTCCCTTCTGTCCTCCCTCGCTGGCTTTGCAGTCCCTCACGATGGAGCAAAATCCTTGGAGCCATGATGAAAGCTCTACCATAGATTTGAACCCTAGAAACGGTGGCAAATCCCATTTGTTGCATAACACAACTTAGGCCTTATTGAGAGCAAAGTTGGGCACATAGAGTCACAAAACTAAAAGGGACCTTGGAAATTATGTTGTCTAATGGAGTAAACTAAGGCTAGGAGAGGTTAAATGAGATATCCCAAAATCTTGTTGTTGGCCAAGCTAGTATTAAATGTCAATCAACAAGCAGTTTGTTAAGTTGATACTGGTTGCTAAGCACTATATTAGGCATTGTATATGCAAAGACAAAAATGAAACAGTCGTTGCCCCAAAGGACCTTCCATTCCATGGGGGAGACAAGTACATATAGACATATATATAAAATGAATATGAGATAATTTATTGGGAGTATCAGAAGAGGCTTCATGGAGAAAATGGTGGCACTTAGAACCCTGATTCCCAGTCCAGGCCTCTATTACACAATCCCAGCCAAGCAGTTACATTTTTTTGTCTTACCTGAAGAATTCTCTGATATATACATCCAGCAGGATAAAAAGATGGGCTCTGAGCCACCCTGCAGTATTATTATTGCTCTTGGTGGGTGGCAGTATTATTAATAAGCACTTTATATTGGCAAAGCACTTAAGCAATTACTTAATCCTCCCCATGTTGCTGGTTTCCAATTTTACAGAGGATTGTTCCAGACCTCCTGCTGAATTAGTGGAAGGGCCAGAAATAGAACCCAACATGTTACAAACTTCCAGATCTGAGGTTCATCTCCGTCTCCTGGCATCTGTTGTGTCTCATGTATTGCAACTGCTTTTAAAAAAACTTAAAGCACTTTTCCAGCTGTGACCTCATCAGTCCTTTTGATAACCTTGTAATAGGAGACAGATTAAGGTTAAAGTTTTTATAGTCTCTCTGCTCAGACTTTGTTTTTAAGGGAAAAAGCTGGCATAGAAAAGACACAGTTATTTAGTGCCTATTGCACAGTGAGCCAAAGGCCAAACTTGAAATTAAATTCTAATTTCACAAGCCCCCATCTGCTTTCCAGTAAGGTGCTTTTTTTTTTTCCCACTAGCATCTAGGTGGCACAGTAAAAAGAGCACTGGGGTCTTGAGTCAGGAAGACTTATCTTTGTGAGTTCAAATCTAGCCTCAGACACTTACTAGCTGTATGACCCTGGGCAAGTCACTTAACCCTCTTTACATAAGTGTCCTCATCTGTAAAAATAAGCTAGAAAAGGAAATAGCAAACCACTGAAGTCTCTTTGCCAAGAAAGCCCCAAATGGGGTCACAAAGAGTTGGACATGACTGAACAACAACAAAGGCCTTGAGTTGGACAGCAACGGCCTTTTTTCAGCCTTAGACATTACACATTAGTGCCCTCCAGTCACTCCACAGTAGCTAACTTCACCTTCTTGCTGCTGTGCACACACAAGACCTTCAATTCCTGCCTACAACCGCTTGGAATAAACAGCCTGCTTACATTCACCTCGGAGAGTCTGGTTTCTTTCTGGGTTTAGCTCAAATGCCACTTTCTGCATGAGACCCTTCTGGTCCCCCAGCTAATGCTCCCTCCCCAGCTCCTGCCTCCCCTCCCCCCTCAGCTTAACTTGCATATGCTTTGCTTGTATCTAAATAGAGCAGGTTGTCCCCCTCCTTAGAACGTAATCTCCTTGAGGGCAAGGACTTGTAATGTCTTTGTAATCCCTATTGCCTAGCACCTGCCTGGCGTGTATTGTAATAGGTTAATAAATGCTTCTTGGTATATTGATTTCCAAAGTGTATGTTGTTGGAGGAAAGGGTGTTAGAGTGACCTCCTATGTTAAGAGGCTTTGAGGGGGAGAGGGAAGAATTGAGAACACGTACTAAAATGTGAGACATAAAGAACTGTCCAGTCTGAGCACACGAGAGAGAAAAATGACAGAACAGACATAAGCATTCCGATATCTGATTTACGCCTGCAGCCCTAGAGAACAGAAATGCCCACTTTGGAGGTGAGAAGGAAGAGGAAATGGGGATTAGAATAATAATAGCATTTATATAGCATGCTAAGGTTGGCAAAGCATTGTAGAGAGACTTGTCTCATTGGATCCTCACAACCAACCCCGTGATGTAGGTGCCATTATCATCCCTATTTTACAGATAGGAAACCGCGGCAGACAGAGGATGGTCACACAACTAAGTGTTTTGAAGTAGGATTTGAATTTTAAGTCAACCAGTCATATTGTGGATGGCACAGTAAACTCTTTTTACAATGCTGTTCAATTTCCTGATAAAGCTAATTGCCTAATTTTGGCATTGTGACATTTAATCGGCTTCCTCCTGTAAACTTACCTCATAGACCCACCAAGAAATTGAAACACCTTCTGTTTGTAGGACATCCATATTCATTTTGAAAGAGCTAAATATTTTCCACTTGGTTGGGCCTCCTCCTCCTCCCCCCCAACATGTATAGGGTGTGCAAAGATCATAACAATCTGCTCTTCTTTGGGCATGGAAATGAGCCTCAATCAATGGGATTTGCTTTGGGGTTGTTCTTTGGGTGACAGTGAAAGGTTTGTCCTGTAGCCCCATAGTCATCCACATCCCTTTGTGGGGGCATTTTCAACATAGCTGGTCAGGCTTTTAGAACTCCTTAGCCCGTGCCCAGAGGGGAGAGCAAAACTTACGCTTTTAGGAAAAATAAGCCAGTGACCATAGTCTCATTTATTAGCACCATGCTAAAATGAAGGAAATCATTGGGGTTGCTTTTGTTATCTATCCTGGGTGAATGAGATTGACTGATCCCCATGTAAAGCTGAGCCAAACATTCTTTGAGTTACCAAAACAAGTTGAATATCTTTGGCTGCTGTGGTTACCATTGGTGACACGTATCAGGGGTTGCTTTTCATCTTCCATTAATCTTGCAACTAGTCTCCAGAGTGTGGCTGCATAGGTTTATGGGAATTTGAGTCCAAAGCTACAAGATAGGATATCCTTTTGGACTACATTTCCCATAAGGCTATGTAGCTACTATTCTGAATCCTGGTTATACTCTTAATAATGCTTCATATCCATCATCTCCCAGGAAAGATCAAAGAATCCCAGAATTGGAAAAGACCTTAGTGGTCACTGATGCATGAATTCTTTGAAAGTTTTTCTAGGTACACTGCTAAGAAAACCTCCAGTGTATGTTAACGTGACACTATCATATGAAAAACAACAACAATATATCAGGCAAAGCTGACCTTAGGGCACTGAGCTTTGTGAATTCTTTCACTGCTGTAGGCTCCAAGGAACTGGAGAGTACAAGTCACAGTTGGATTGGAACAAAGCAGGTGGTTCCAGGAAGAAGATCTAGGCAGAAATCCTGTCTCTTCTTTGCAAGGTTTCAGTTCCAATTATGATTCAGATACTTATTAGCTGTGTGACTCTGGGCAAGTCACTTTAACTGCTGTCTGCCTCAGTTTCCTGGTTTGTAAAATGAGGATAATAATAGTACCTTCCTCACCAGGTTGTAGTGAACTCAGGTGGGATAATATGTAGTGTTTTGCAAATAGGGATACATAAATGCTAGTCATTACTACCTTTGTGAACTTGAGAAAATCACTTCTCTCTGGGCCTCAGTTTCCTCTTCTGTATAATGAGAGGTTGGGCTGAACGATCTGTTAGGGTCCCTTCTGGCTCCAAATCTTAGGATTATAAGGTCTAGTATGCTCCCATATTTCCTTACAGTGTGACATATATACAATAGCTCTATTTAATGGTTTGGGTTTTTTTTAGGCTATACATATACATTCCTATTAAATATATTTTCACATTAGTGATGTTGTAAGGCACTTAATGTTTAAAAAAAAAAGCATCTTCTCCCTAGGGAGAGCCTCACTCCTCTTTCCCCACTTCCACAAGAGTGTTAATGTCATGTGGTGCAATGTAATGATCACTGGACTTGGAGTGGGAAACCCTGGGTTCAAATTATGGCTTTGCCACTCACTGTTTGCATGACCTTGGGAGGGTGTTTTTCCACCTCTCTGGGCCTCAGTTTCCTCATCTACAAAATGAAGTGGTTAGTCTAGATGTCCTTGAAGGCCTTTCCCAGTCCCTTAGGTCCCATGATGTCACAATGCTTTTTTTTTTTATTTTTAAGGATTTAAAGTGCTCATAATAATCTGAGGAAATGAGATTGCTTCCACAAACCACACAGGACAGCCACATTAACTGCTAGTCATATTTTCTACAAGTAATCAGCACATGAATCATTGTTGAAACATTTCATTTTATAGCTGCCATGTGCAGGGTGTTTAGCTGTACGAAAAAATAAAATGTTACACAGTCTTTGGGCTCAAAGAGCTTCAAGCCCAGCAGGGGGAAGGG